GACGTGATTATCCAGGAATATTATTAAATTTTAGGATACAGGCGCCCAATATTATGTACCCTTGTTGTCATCGCTATTATTGTTTTGCGCTTTACAGTTATGCTACGAAATTAATCGATATTAAACAGTTTATGGCACCATCCAATAGACCTCATGTAATATCGTTCTAGTGAGGTGCACAAAAATGAAGTATAGTGTAGCAAAAAACGTTTTGTGAAATCTGGTAGTAGCTTTATACATAGGTAGATACTACTTGCAGTTAATTTCTATTTGGGTTTCCATCATTTTAGGTAGGATTTTATTTATGATAGTAATAAAATGGCCCACGAAAGCATTTTTGAGACAAATTGAAAACATTTATTCTCGAGCTGAACTAGAGCGATTATTTTGGGGCAACTTAGTGAAATTGGCTGTTTGTTTTTTCTTGCGTAGAGATACATACGCTAGGTAGTTAATCGTTGGAATTTTATAGCTTTTGGAAATATGTAGCTCTACTTTTATAAACAGTTAACCTTTTAATTCTGTTTCCCAAGTGCTGGAGGCACACTTTAGTTAACTGGAACAAAGATCTAGAGTAAAAAAAATAACTGTTTTCTTTCTGTTGAGCGCAAATTAACGTAAAAAGTGTTTTAATTAATGAAGTCTCCTCATAAATGACATAAATATCTGCCTACTAATTAGCTGGATTAAATATAAGAGTAGGATACATGGAAATTTAAACTCAAACCGTTGTATTTACCTCGTTACGTATCGATCTTCGTGGGAACCCATGTCTGGCTTCGCGTTACTGAAATAGATAATTGACCGAGGACCGAAGCGTATAGGAAATACTATAAGCGCGTGGTAAATCAGTTGTAAAGAAACAATTTGCGTAATATCTCGCTTTTTGGCCAAACAAATCTGTTTAGTAGCAACCTAGGCGGATGATTTATTGTCCCTTGTCTTTTTATACATAAAAAAATATAATTTTACCTACTGGTGCACTGAGGAAGGAGTAGATGTGTGGATTGATGTTTAATGAAACTAAATTAATATTTATCGTTATTGTTGTTGTTAAAAAAATGTTTTCATCTGGTTGCAGAACAGGCTTTTCCAACGAATATCACAAAAAATAGTTCTGTACAGGAAACACACAAAAACGTTTAGTGTAAGTAAATTAATATGTATTCTCAATCTAGACTGAAAAAATATTTGGGAGTTGGGACATTGCAAATTATCTGTTTAAATGTAATGGGTGTATACAACTTTTGCCAAAAAATACCCCGAATTTCCAGACTTTCTAGGTAGATAACAATAATAACAAAACCATCGCAAAAAGTAGACACGCTTTTGAGACACAAAACGCTGAGAAATGTCAGTAGATGTTCAATAAAACAAAATTAAGATTTATCGTTCAAGCGCCTTCAATATTTTTTCCTATTTCCAACATAATCGGTCGAACGAGATATCTGAGGCAAAAAAATTCTCGTCACAACAGTATTCCGCCGTACGGCAACACTAAACCCAACAGGGTATCATTTCAGCCCCTCGAAAAGCCACCCCTTCGAATCCCGCGTCTGTCTTTATCCAGTGCGCCAGGCCAGACAAGCACCCTCGGATAGAGCCGAAGACATTCCTTTCTCTTTCGCCTCGCCGAAATCGTAATAATATAATCTCGCGGGAGACAACGAACACGCACGCCGAGCACGGAACTTCCCCTACTCACGTTTTGGGAGGCTGGTTTTAGTCAATTTATTCGCGGCGACGTTGCCACGTTTCCAGGTCGTACTCGGCGGCGCCTTCATCAGTATCTCCGATGCCGAAATCGGAAGGTACGCCTCCTGCGATGGGGTTAGTCACCTCCGGTGCTATGCGGCAGAATTGATTCTTGTAGCGCGAAGGCTGTGATTTAAAGGGACGTGATGGGGCATTTTATAGTGTATTACGGTATTCCTCCGTGGCATTTACTCTTTTTATTTGACTTGATATATCCGTCACATTGAAAAGAAAGAATTAATAAAATAAACAACCGCTTGTACCAAAAGCGTCAGTGTCAGTGGGTTGACTAAAGCCAGAAATACCTCACGCTGAGAAAGTGCTTTTTGTTGTTTATATTGTCCAAAAAGTTATTTAACTTATCAAAATTACATGTCCAAATCGTGAAAACATCATTATGTATCCATCACATCATAGTTTTTCTTTTGTTTAAATTATTAATATTGTTTTCAGCCTACACAGAATCCAATTACACATTCCTAATAGATGGAGTTACCACTATTTTTTTTTTTGTCTTAAAGATAAAGTTTGTTAACATTTTTTCCTGTTGTATCTAACTCTAACAATAGTTTTGGGATAATATTTTTTTTTTTATTAGATCATTACTAATTCATTTTCTATCCAAACTTGAAATAATTATTATAGTTTCCTAAGTACAGTGAACGTCTTCAAACTAATTCATTCTTTTCATTTTCACCCAGTTCAATAATTTCTACATTTTTCTACCCGTCTTTAATTCTCGCAGATATCCGCCAATACAGAGCTGGAGATGTGACTTCTACAAGCAAAATCTTTCAAGAATTTTCAGCGTGAACCTAGTATAATCAAGCGGATTGGTTTTATAAGATTTTCTGCAATGTAAGAGTACAGTTAAATGATTAGTATCCATGCAGGCAGACGGATAGGCAGGGACCGATGCTCCGATTCACTGGCCATCACGTTCATCTGACTTAAATCCCTGTGACTTTTTTGTTCGAGGGTCCTTAAAACAGAAAGTTCGTATTGATAGCGAGAAACAACTGTGGTACAGGATTGGAGACGCTGCGCTGTTCGCAATTTACAGAATGAAGGTATTAATTTATGTATTACGGAAAACAGAACATTCTGTTTCTGTCGTAAAATAAATTATTTATGCCGTTTAAGTCGAAAATGCATTAGTAATGATCTAATAAAAAAATATATCCAAAATTTATTACGATAGAAAACAATACAATACAAAAAATTTACAGGACGGAACAATTTTTAACAAACTTATAAACCTCAAGACAAAAATTAAAGCAATAATACTTAAACACTTATTTTTTAGATTGCAAATGTGATATTTTTTTAAATCAACAATTTTTACCACGAAAACGATGGTACCTGTGTTTACATAAAGATTTTTTTCTTATTTCATGGTGTATATAAAACTATACCTAAACACACATAAAATGTTAGTGTAAATATTTTGGGTGATGGTTAATTGTGAAGAAATAAAAAAAATCAACGTTTCGACCTTTATAAAGCTATAATCAGGATATAACATTTGTTTGTCTTTAGTTAAGAGTTGAAATGACCGTGAAAGAAGAAACGTCGATGCAGAACAAAGAAAGTCTGTCAGAAGTCAGAATTTAATGGTAACAAAATTCAAATGTCTCACTCTTTTGACGAATAGTAAGTAAGAATTATTTATGCCTATCGAAATCCTAGAATCGATTGCATATTTGTCTGTTATAATGTTACAAACATGCTCCAAGCTATGTCATCATATACTCCATTTTTGTGTGCGAACGATTAAAATTCAAAAAATGCGGGCAAATTGGTAGGTAAAATTAATTTTTTGAAAAAATAAAAAAATGTAGATATTTTAAATGTGATATAAAAATAAATGAGAACTATGCATATTATTGCTTAATTCAATCAGATACATGCTTGCATATTTGATTCTAAATTGTATTCAGCAAAAAGCTAACTAATCATGATACAGTTACAAATGGAGTATAAAACATAAATAAATTAAACCGGTAAACTTGTTGAAATTTCAACTGGTCAATGCACCATATCGTGCCTAAATTAGAGTTTTAGCATCAAATAATAAATTATATATTAGTTCTACTCTAAACCTAAAGGTACTTACTTCTTATTAGTCCAGGAAAGTTACACATAAAAGACGGAATAAGCGAACTTTTTACTCTGGGATTTTTTTATAGAAAAGTGTAGGTTTTGAGGTCATAAAACTTAAGACGCTAACGCCACCACTAGCAAAGATATACCACACATAAATGATTTCTCCCGTTTTTTGACCAGCAACTGCCAATATCTCAATGAAAATGCATTTTTTCGAAAAAAAATTTCAAATAAGTTGTTCAAAATTAAATTTTCTACAAAATTACTTCTATCAAAAATTTCGATTTTCTCAATAGTTTTTCCGTATTTTTTAATGAAGTAGAGATTATGTAAAAATTGATGTTTTGAAGCCATAATGGTCAATTCATTTTTAAATAACGAAAGTGAATTAGAGAAAAAAGAATGCAGAAAATTCTTACAAAATCTTAGTTTTTTGAGGTTTGAATATTTATAAGCATCAAATGTATCATTTTATAGGTTTTTCAGTGTATACGTAACAATTATGTGCTTTTTAATATTTTGCAGAAAAATCTGTTTTTTTTTTAAAGTAAAACATAATAAGTATACCTAATGAAATTAAAAATTTAAATTTTATGACTATAGGAAAACAATTTTCTAGATCTGCAAAGGTAGGTATAATAAAAAGATAGGTATGTATATCAATATATATTTTTTTATTTATTCATAATTTTTTATTTATTATTTTTAACAATTTTCAATGGACTTCCATATTTAAGTTTCTTATGTAAAACTGCTTCATGGCTGTCGCAAAACAAATTCAAATATACGGGAAAACTATAGCGAACATCGAAATTTTCATAGGAACAATTTTGTACGAAATTTAATTTTGAACAACGTTTATTTGAAACTTTTTTTCGAAAAAAACTACACTTTTCTATAAAAAAAATCTCAGAGTGAAAAAGTTCGCACTTATCGAAAATAATCACAAATTTTGAAGAATTTAGAACCTTTTAAATACTTGGTTATAGTATTTCTAATAATTTTTCCTTGCACGATCAAAAATCCACAGTTTCTTACCGCGCTGAACAACCTGACAACATCGCCTCGTTTGTTTTTACTGCAGCCTCATTGGATTGGTCAGAACGGTTGGCGTAGCGTAGCTTGGTTAGTAAGCAGCGAGACGCGAGACGTTCAGTTTACTGTCGGTTATTGTTGTGTGTTAACTGTGTTACACGTGCAATTTTCACGTCGTCGCATCTTATCAACGCGTATTTTCCTTCCGTAATGAGAAAAACTGATCTATTTTTGAGGTGACAAATTCTTTTTGTATTTTTCGGCGCGCGTCGAAGTATAGTGTGCATCGCTGTGTCGCGATACTAGTGTGATGCAGTTCTGTGCTAGTGAGTGCATTTCGTGAATGAGAGGATGAGAACGGTTTCCTTGTGTTGATGCACTCGACCTAACCTCTGTTTTGGATTAATTAGCTGAGATTTGTAAGTGAATACGCTTCTTTGCCCCGATAATGAGCGATGCAATTTTGTTTTTACGACTTTTTGATGAACATTTAAAGTTTCGAGTTTGAAATCTTTGTGTTGAAATAAGCCGTTCCGATAGCTTCCTTATCTACTCGATTTGAAACGTTTCATTTTTTGTTTTGGTTCTTTGGTCTTTTGGATCGTAAAAACAAAATTCCATTGTTTTTTCGTAGAAGACGGACCGAACCGGTTTTATTCTAAATTCCCATCTACTTGGCCATGCCATTTTATTATAGCGTAGAAAACCACAATTTGTTGTAAAGAAAGTCTTCTTAAAAATGATATTTATAAAACTAAAAATCCAATCTAAGTATTTGGAAAATATAATAATTTTTCCTGATTTCTATATGTTGTACCTTTATGTACCTACTGTTATTAAATATCGAGTTAAATATTTTTGTTTTGAATCTTTTAAATAATGCCCAAATATGCGATATTGACGTTTAGATTTTGTTGTCGCTGTGAATTGCCAAAGAAATTATTAATTTTTTTTGTTCATATACCCGAATAATTTTATTTGAAACCCGCAGCTCGAAGGATGATCGCAAATCCCGAAGTCTTTGAGTTAAAATTACATTTTTGACAGCATTTAGCAGTTCGACCATGCTAATTACGTATTTTACAATTAGTCTTGATTGTAGTTGCTACTGCCGTAGGTAAACTTTTTCGTGAATCGTAACTTCTGCGTCAATGAGGTTCTTGAAGTATACAGGGTTTTTGTTAAGTACTTGTACAAACTTTAGAGGGTGAATCTTTGACTAATTTTAAGATAAAAAGTTCATATGAACATATGACTTCGGAAGAACTATACTTGGATTTAAATAACCATAAATTTTTTGTGTCGAACTATGTCATTTTTGACTAAACATACCTATTTTTCATTCAATTTTACGGACAAAAGGTACTCTTAGTATTTGTCGCTGAAAGCAGCTGTATTGTTAAAAAAACGGGTTTAATATTAAAGTTAAACCTGTTTCTAAAAAAAACTAGTGAAAAAATGCGTCTTTTATTGATTGTATTGCGATGTGACAAATTTAGATAATTTAAGACTAAATTGCGGACCCATGTTCATATTCACATTTTATCTTAAAATTAGATAAAAGTTTACCCTTTAAAGTTTGTACAAGTACTTAATAAACACCCTGTATATCCACCCAGTTAAAGCGATACGTGTTTAAAAAAATGCTCTTGTCAAAATTTATATTTTTTAATCACAAATTGCGTAATAGTAATTTATTTTACAACAGGAATAACAGTTTTTTCAAAGAAATGTTAAATAATCGATTAACAAGTATGAGAACTAAATTTGAATGAGGTCGATATGTAAAAGTACTAACAAATAAACATGAAATAAACATTAAAAATATGTAAACATAATCTATTGTTATTGCATGAATAAATTTAAATAAAAAGTACAGAAAACTTTGAAGACTAACGTTGGTTTTCGATTTACATGCCAACATACAACCATATTCCTTTTTTTTTAGTAAAAAAAACATACTTCCTCTTACATGAAAATTATTTTTATTTAATTTGCATCCTTTTTAAACATGGCTAGCGGGACTAAAAGTTTTATGCTATTTTTTATTTATTTTTCGTGCTATAACAATGTCAAACTGATGTGTTTACACATATTTTATGTTTATGAATATTTTTGTACCATGCTTTTTCAGATTCAGCTTTTCTATACATTAAACTATCGATTGAAATTCGAGTTAAAATTGTTTTAAAATTTATTAAATTTATAGGGTATCATAGTTTTAGTCTATCATACTTCGGGAGCGGGCATAGAACAATGCAAAATAATGGTACCTATTTACTTTGTTTCATAAACTTATTTTAAAATCTCGACCCTTTCCAACATTTAAAATAACTTAACACCACTTGAGTGTTGAAAGGTTAAAGGCATTTACCTACTATTTGAACTAAATTTGGTGTTCATGACGTACACATTGAGTCAAATGTTCCATAAAAGTTCAGTTGATATTTTTTGCTTTGAAACAATTGGGAATCGAATAAACTTTTCGAATTTGCAAAGTATTCATCAGTGGAGTCGAAATACTGACGTTCTTAATGACGTTGTCGCTCAATGTCTGGTTTCGTCTTGATATTGCAATATTTTATAGAATCTTGACAAAATACAACGTCCACCAAGTTTGATTCAAATACTTCTATTATTTCAGTAAATATTTCGAGATATTTTCAGTAAACAACGTTTTTTGGGCACCTTTTTATTTTTGGAAGTTCTATCTGCAGTTTTATAATTAAAAATGGGACACCCTGTATAAATATAATCGAATCGAATTTTGTTACCTACGCATTCTTAAAAAAAAAAAAACGTGAACAGTTTTTCCGGGGTTTTTTATTATTTCTACTTACGAAGAATGTGTCCTTAAAATTTGAGTTCTTCCTCGTGGAATACTAAAGTAATGAAACCAAGCAGGAAAAAAATGGGTCTCGCAAATATGTGCATAAAAAAATACTAGATAATAATAATTTTTTTCCTAACGCAAGGGGAAAAGTCTGAAGAAAGTAATTTTCCCCTGATTAAAAATGTGATGTTTTTGGAATCTACTTGATACATATTATTTTTATAATATTACAATTTTTATTCATTAGTTCGATATTTTTAATTCGTGGGCGTTTATTTAGTTAAAACCGATGTTAAAACGACGTTCTGCGAATAGTGGGTAGCTATTATAAAGAATTATTATACTTATAGCTATTAGCCATAATTACAAACATATCTTTTAACGTAGAAGGTATCTTAGTCTTAAATGCAATTTTTTTAAGAGTATCCAAACTACATACGTATCTCGGAAGCTTCGCCCAACAACACCGGAAGCACTAAAGTGGGATTATGGAAGCTGTAAACTAATTTGGGAACATCCTGCGCAATTTTCGCCGATTATCATCCGTACCCGATAAGTAGGTTCTCATTTATATACCTATGACGCTTTGTTTTGGAACAGATTTTAATTAGTTTTCATAATTATAAGAGATATACCTGCATATCTACATTGTCTACTAAAATTACACTACATTTTTATATGTCAGATTTCAACACATACAAAACGTCAGTGCAAGAAGTGCAAGAATTAAAATGTCTCATGTGTATACTTTGTTGTGAAAGATACAGCTAAAGCAAAAAGCGAAATCTCGAGCACAACTTTCTATGCTCACCGCACGAAACACCACAAGAATTACTGCATTGCGGTTACAAATTTTTACACGGTTTTTTCGATTATTAGATATTTTTACAGGCAAGTAGGTAAGTAGTCTATTAAATGCTCTATCAAATATAAGTACAGTTGCCAAAGCGAGGCAGGAAACAGGAAGTGTCACTTAAAGAAAGTGCCCGTCGCAGATTTGGCAAAATAATTATTTTTTTTAATTGAGTTTTAAAATACACACAAAGGCCGTTGTGTTCTCGACTTGGATAGTCCGTACTGTTTTTAACAAAATTAACGTCAAACATTTTGATGAAAATCAAAATTAACGTTGTTTTTAAACTTTGCTGGGAGATAATATCAATTAAAATAAGAAAATAAAATTTATGAGAACATTTGGAAGTTAAAAAAAAAATGTTTTTGGCAATCCATTTTTATCAACTTGTAGCTTTTTTTAAAGCGTTTTTGGGTCCATGTTCATGTAGGAGTATTTTTGCTTAAATTGTTGTATGACATGTCATTACAGGATTCGGAAACGAAATAAAAAACCGGGGGAAATCTTTACAGCATGATGGACAACTACCTATTTGACGTAAAATTCCGTATTGGAGAGTTTTCGGAATTATTTTTCCCAATTTCACAACTTTTGTTAAACAAGTTTTTTTATATCCCTTTTCGTTCAAAAGATATAAAATGATATTTATAGAGAAAACCACTGGTTTGATCAAGTCTGTTACTGATTCTATCAACGTTGTCGTGGAAAAGAAAACACTTTCAATGTTTATGACAAAATCGCTAGAACTTTGACCAGCTAGTATTTATTTTTCGTACTATCTTGTACCTTTTGAAATATACAGGGTGTTTCAGGATTAAGTCGAGACGCTTCATTTTCGAAATATAGGCCGTTAAAGATTAAAAAAATGGAATTTTTATATAACTTCTAAATGAAGAAGGTTATTTAAGCCAAATTTGGCATGACACATCTTCTTATAAGATACCATTTTTCCATAGAAGTAGAAGTCCCACAAGCAACCAGTGGCGGAGTTATGGGGACTCAAACTCATTAAATTATAAAAAAAATAATACAGCCCCACTGAAAATAAAAAATGATGCCGTTTTTAGATGGAACAGTGTGTTATTGACAAAAAGTCCTAACTCTTATAGTTTCATGGCGAAATTGATTTTTGCGAAACGGTGCTTCTGGATTCTGTCGATAAACTTTATGAAGACGTTCCTCATAAAACCTAAAAAAATATAGTATCTATTAAAATTGGTATTAGTCTCGAGTACGTGTGAGTCAAACAAGCCTTTTTGTCTCCCCTTCCCTTGGGTTTAACCAATAGTATTAAAATTATTTAGGAGATGCTTCGTTTTTGAGATTGTGTAAAACCGTACTTATCTTATCAACTTCTACGTCACCTGTTACATAGGTGTTGTATAACAAAGAAAAAGTAATATTAACGGTCGATAGAAGGAAGCACAAAAAACAAGCACTTACGTAGGAAATTCTGGAAGGAAGCCTAAATAGTTGAAGATAGGCAGTTGAAGTGAGAACAGTGTACAGATAGGTAGTAAGACGATCAGTGTAGTGCGGAAAATATAAACTTAGTAGAAAATTAAGTGTTTAATGTGTTATTAGTTAGCAGGTAATATTTTTTTAGTACTTTGTTGTTAATTGTTCTATGTAATCTTATGATTGTGATGATTATAGATGTTTCATGATAATAATTCTTTGTATGTTTAGCTTCCATTGCTTTATGCTCAAGAGCATATATTTTTCTAAGGTAA